CAGTCCCTGCCTCCGATGACCATCTAAACCGCCACCAAGCAATTCGGAACGATGCCTTCCAAGCTGTTAAAGCTGCCCGATTCCGAAGCACCACTACTGCCCAGAAACGACGACGCAAACATATCCCGATCCCAGAAGGAGACATGCTCATGGTACACAGTAACATGTTTATTACCAATGTTGGACGCAGTAAGAAACTGCAACCCCGATGGCGTGGACCCTTCAAAGTCATATCCTTTGACGAGCACACAGAGAACTACACTGTCCAGATGGATGGACGCATGTACCGCCGCAATAATGCAGTCTTTCACGCTTCTGCTGTCAAACGGTTCCACCCAAATGACGACTCCAAATTCCCCGGAAGAACCCACTCTCGACCCGCACCTATCATCATTGAAAAGAAGGATGAATGGGAAGTTGAAGAAATCCGAGACCACCGCCTTTGGCATGGAAACGATCAATTCCTAGTCAAATGGAAAGGATATCCAATGAGCGAAAACAGTTGGGAACCACTAGAGGGACTAGAGCACGCTATGGATATGGTGAACAAATGGTGGAAAGACAACATGCCAAACGAATCCCTCCCCCCAACAATTAATTATATCACCATGTGCTGGACACCTACATTGCCAGAAACTGAGCGATGGCACGCAGAACTCGAAGCTAGAGATGGATTTTGGGCACCACACTTTGAGTCGGAGTTTGAAAGCAGCGATGAAGAGAATCAAGCTATGGAGCAGGCCCTCGACAACCTTATCTAGTCACCAATCACCATCCGAATACCATAACGATGTCAAACTATGTGGAACTCAATGTGAGGCAGCGACAACAGGTTGTTGGACTGTTGTTGAACCGCGATGCTATCCAACTTGAAGACTACTTCGAAATTCTCTGGATTGACTACTGTCCTGATTGTGATCACGCTTGGGTTGACGTACAGCACGAATCTGGTATTCGTGACTACTGTGATTTAGATTTCTTTGAGTCTAAATGTTTCCTTAGAGTTTCCTCTTGTCCTTGGTGTGATACCTATGATGAAGAATTTTTGGCGGAAACTGAAGCCATGAGTTTCTCGGAATCCGCCTTTGATGATTATTAGGTTTTTGTTTGTTTAAACAGTTGTTTTGTTTTGGGGAATGTAACCGGTACGGGTACTTGGTTATTGGTTTGTTTTAAGTATCGTTTGATACTTGGTTTTGTTTTATGTTTTGTTTTAAGTATCGTTTGATACTTGGTTTTGTTTTATGTTTTGTTTTAAGTATCGCTTTGATACTTGGTTTGTTTTAAGTATCGTTTGATACTTAGTTTTGTTTTATGTTTTGTTTTAAGTATCGTTTGATACTTAGTTTTGTTTTATGTTTTGTTTTAAGTATCGTTTGATACTTAGATTTGTTTTATGTTTTGTTTTAAGTATCGCTTTGATACTTGGTTTGTTTTAAGTATCGTTTGATACTTGGTTTGTTTTAAGTATCGTTTGATACTTAGTTTTGTTTCGTTCATGCTAGACATGAACAGATTTGTGTATTTAAAGACCGCCTGTTTCTACGATAGAAAAGGCAGACTTCGACAGACAGTATTTCAATATACTTGGTTGAACGGTTACTTCTTTGTTCCTCAGTACGCCCTCGAAGCCTCCTTTAGTTCTCAGCTCTCGCCTCCTCTCTGGAAGAGCAGGTCACCTGCGAACTATCGTATCCATTATCGATAACGTGATTAGCACCTTGCGAACACGTTACAGTAATGATCCCTCCTCAGATGGTTAGTTCTTGGTAACGGAGAAGGATACTTCTCTTCTCTAACTTCTTCTTCCTTCGTCTTACAATAGGACTAGGCCTCTGCCTACGATACCGATAGTACAAGACCTTTGTCTTCAATCGGGAACGCGTATCATAAGCTTTCTCTAACTCCTCTTCATGAAGGCCTTTCCTTGGCGTAACAATAACATTGCAATTAAGATAAAAATCGTAAAGGTTTCTTATATTTATTAAAGTAATAAGTAGGAAAAGTACTTAGAATTCAATCTAATGTTATTTAAACTCATACCGCCAACACTGGTATACGATGAGCTCCCACCGGGACAGGGATACTGCTAACCAGTATACCAGTAATCCTAAGCTAACTAAGTCTACAGCTCCGCACCTGCCATCCCTGAGTCATGCCCGCACAAGAACTAATTACAAGACCATCAAACAACCCAGCGCCCGCCCCGGTCCAAGTCTGTAGCCCCTCTGGTATAAGGCCAACCAGTACTAAGTGTAGCCGAAGCCAAGAAAATGACCGACCCAACCAGGTTCCTTGTCCAACAAAATATAAAATCACTACTGCCCAGTCTGAACACCGTCCCACGAAACCTCCACCAGAGTAGAAAACCAACAAAACTAAAACAAACATATAAACTACAGGCGACACGATGGCAGAGAGGAGGTGACCAACATGTCCACCTCTTGCATCGGCATGCCCGGCCGTCTACACTATGAACTCACTTTGCCAAGTGCCTCTGAAGAGCGTAATGGTGAGGAGGACCTGTACCTGCTGCCTGTCTCCCAAAAAACAAAATCCGTAAACAAAAGAAATACATAGAGGTGGTGACAGACCAAAACGGTCAGTGGAGCCTATCTCCCACCCGTGGTACCTTGCCCCCGCCAGCCATGCCCAGAACCAAACCAAAGAAACCAAACAAGCCCCACAAAACCCAGCATAAAAGACCCAAACAAGTCCAACTAGGTAGTTGCAGCCCACTATCCGCACAGGTGGCCATCAGCCAACCGGTCCATCGGGGAGCTTTACAGCACTCAGCAGCTTCACCCAACAGCCCAAGCCAGACTGGAAACACTTAATTAGAGCTCGCCCAGCCTGACGCAGGCCCAACTGGTGCTAGCAGGTGCCTCTTCCCCCCCAATCAGCCCCCCCAAGCCCCACACACTAGACGCCACAGAGTCCATCCAGCCCCCCCAGCCCCTCAGACAGATTAACCATCTGATAGCCACAGGACAGCATATACCCAGCCCCATCGGGCAGCCACTGGTGTTGGCCACACCAACAGAGCCCCAACCCTCAACACTGAATAGCTGAGGGGGGCCTACCTGCCACAGCCGGTAGCTATAAAGGAGGCAGCACCAACACCCGAAGGCATCAACACCAGCCACACCAGCCAACCCAGCCGAACCAAAGTATAACCGAGTCGGGAAAAAGTAAGCAGAGCCAGCTGAAGCCTGCCGCACAGGTCCGGCAAATGCACAGACCAAACAACGGCCAAGAGGCACTCCCAACTGACCTGACCAGAAGGGAGGGGCAAGGGAAACAGAAGCAGTCAAACACAGGGTAGGCCCCACTTACAATGGGTGAAGCTGCCAAGTATATTTTTTCTTTTACTAAGCTGTCACCAGTTTCAAATCATTTGGTGCACATATAAGACGTCTTGAACCATGAGAAAAAAATATTAAATAAAGCATGAAAAATATCCCATCTATGTAAACAATTATATTGATAAATAGATATCTCTATGGCCAAACTACATGCATCATATAGACCTTCCTACAACCTACTTATAACTGCAACTATCATATGGACTAGGGCTGCTCCATATCCAACGACATAATCTTTATCTCTCTAATTTCTTTCTAGGTTATGTATATAGCTTACATAGCTTCTAAATAGATCATATGTGTGAAATCCTAGTAAGTCTTATAAGGCTTACTCTTATTCAACTAATGATCTCCATATAGCATAATAATCATGACTTAAAATCTAAGTTATGTTTGAAACGCACATGACTCCTAAGCAGGTTATATATGTGAATAATAATCATACCATCATACAACTTAATCAAGTCATTAATGAAACAATAACCTATGAAATCCTTTATGAACTGCAATAGATTTGTTATAATTTCTCTATCATTTCATACATAAATGTCCAATAGTCTGGCAGGTGCAAGGACCTTTCAATTCTGAAAACTTTTATATTAGATTAAACCCAACTAATATAAACTATTTGTGCTAAATAAATATATAACTTTCTTTCAATAAACTATTACTAATATATTAGACTTAATAGACTTTATTTTGCAACTCTAGTTAAATTAATTATTACTTAAGTAGCCTCCTACAATAATTGAGCAATTATTTTCACCATTAACTAAAATACAATGTTGGCTTGGGCTTAAATTCTATTATATATACAAAAACTTATAAAATCAATTTACTGTAGCATCTGAGCACACTGTGGCATTAATTAAAAATTTTAAAAACATGAGTAGCATATGTGACCTTTACTGATAAAATAATTATTTATAATAAAAAAAATATCTACTACTTGAATCTTTAAGTAGTTCTATTTTATTATTATTTTTGTTTCTCTCTATAATTTTTTATTTTATAGTATTATTAATATTTCATTTTCAAATTCTTCAAAGAATTTTTTCTCTAACTTTAACAAGTGATAAATAAATTGAAAATCTTGATTTAAATATCTAATATTATCAGAGATATATAGAGGAAACGAGTTTATAATACTATTATAATTTTCAGTATTCTCATATAAGTATGGTAAATTTTATGATACATGTATTAATTATCTCTTCATCTGACTAATAGTTATTCTACTACTAATGCTACTATATTATATATCTGCAAATTCTCTACTTTAATAATTAGTTATATCTAACACACAATACTTATAATGATCATACCTGAGTCAATCTTAGAAAGTTCTCAATACTATAAATTCTAGAGTTTCCTGTACAGTTTTTTAGAGCAAAAAATATGACAACTAGATTTATTCCCTTATGATAGCTAATAATTTAAAATTCTAATTAAATTTTGATACTATAAAATAATTTCATAAAATAGTTCTAAGCAAATAATATTATTACATTACTCTAAGCAAATAATATTTATATTTTTAATAATATTATTACAATATCGTTCTTTATACTAAAGGCTTGATGAGTGGGATAGGTGAAATTTTTCTTTTCCGGTAGGACATCCTATTGTAAAAGTAATCTCCTTGGCCAAGGGGATATCTTCTTGGCCAAGTAGAACTCTTTACTGGTGGGGTAGAACATGTGCTCGGGTGCCGTACCCGTATCCTACCGGTCAGTATATTGCCACACCCGAGTAAGCTTCGAGTTTGCTCCACAAGACACTTACCCCACCAACCTTGCTATATGTACCTCTGACTTCATCTCTCCTTCCACCCCGTCCCATCAACAAATCCACTTTCAGTTCCTTGCTCCATCCTCTCTACCTCTCATCCAAACACCGACCACCATTGCCATCGGAATTCCCAATCAGTGCTTCGACTCAAAGTTATGCCTCGCCGTATAGCTACTCACGCCAACTCCTGGTACGTCGCTGACAAGCGTAAGCTCGATAATCAGCTAAATGCGTGGATCAAGATAGCGGGCTCGGAGGATTGCGGAATCCCAGAGTTTCCTGTTTCAAATGCGAGGATCATTATGGCACCGTAAGCCCCATATATCTCATTTGTTGAATCCACGCTCCCCGCTTGCGGCCTACAGCACTTGGGGCTCTAGTTTACCCACTATTGCTCGCAAACTGATCAACTAACACTTCATTTCCATGCAGACATGCTGGTTATAGTTATTCCGGTGCTACTGCTGGATTCGCCTACAAGGCATGGGATCTTTCCCAAGCGTACGGATGGCACAACTGGAGTTCTGATCGTCCAAAGTATCGAGCTAATTTTTCCCCGTTTAGGACTCGAATCTTCATCTTGGGACCTGCTCACCATGTTTACATCAATGGCTGCAGTATCTCTGGCTGCGACTCCTATGATACGCCTCTCGGAGAGCTCACTCTAGACTCCGAGCTTCTTCGAGAGCTAGCAAGCACGGGAAAGTTCACTTGGCTCTCCTTGAAAGTGGATGAAGATGAACATAGCATCGAAATGCATCTTCCATATATCTATAAAGCTATCGAGCGTGCTGGGAAATCACACAAAGACGTCAAAATTGTCCCGATCGTCGTCGGAAGCATCTCGACCGCTCAAGAGAAAGCTTACGGGACGCTTCTGAAGCCCTACCTTGAGGATCCACAGAATGCTTTTGTCATTTCTACAGACTTTTGCCACTGGTAAAAAGAGAGCTCCCCCTTCTTTGTTGAAACACCTTGCTCAAGCTTCTATCACAGGGGTGCACGTTTTTCGTACACGGGGTACTTCCGTGAACTGCCCACTCATGACAACCCCAATCCTGAGTTCATCCACCTCAAGGAGCATGGCGTCCAGGCCATCAGGCACCCCCTTCATAAGTCCATTAGGGCTTTAGACCACGAAGGTATGGTAGCGATTGCCACTGGAAAGCATAGCGAATTTTCCTCCTATCTATCGAAAACCAAAAACACTATTTGTGGAAGGCATCCCATTGGGGTGATAATGGCTGCGGCGGAGCTCATGTTTGGTGAAAACAAGGGAAGCAACTTGGGGAAGTTTAGGTATCTCTATTACGCTCAGAGTGAGGCACTCGAGGACGTTAATGGGAGCAGTGTAAGCTATGTGAGCGGTTTTATGGAGATGCCATAGCTATATCTCTTGTCTGTTATAACTCGACTTGTAAATTTCGCTTTATAGGAGTGGAGTTGAGATACAGTTCAATGGATGGGCTTTTTGCCAGCAATGGATATCCTGCCCGCCTTACTCCGGGGGCCGAGTTCGTAACGTGTTTTCTTGTTTGTAGTCTGGTGAATTGGGAACTATGATATCCATAGGACCACACTCGGGCTCTTACCATCAAGAAAAGTTGTCCCCCCGTTGAGTGCATTGGGGAAATCTTCCCATGGGAACACAGAAAAGCTCCTCGAACTGAAGAGATGACAATTGAGAATCTTCCCCTATATGGTGCACGATAAAACTAGAATCGACAGAAATAAGGAAGATAATCTATTCTATACCAATTCGTATCATGCCCATGCCATACCGGACCCTGTGGATCCGCCCGAACAGTGAGATCTAAGCTACATCTGCCCACCTCCAACCTCGGAAATGGAAAAAAGAACAGTAACGGAAATAAATAAGGGAAATAGAGAAAAAAGGTGAGAAAGAAGGGAAGAAGGAAAGCCAAACAGTTTCGTAAAGTGCGCCAGCCGGTATATATCTTCTCTTTTTTTTCTCCCCCTTCCTCTCCCCCCTGCTCGGGTCCACAAAAAATATACCCTTCGCATTCACAATCACCTATCTAGTAGCATTCCTCCTGGCCCTCTCCTTCTCGAAATTGGCGATGAGCTCCTTCTGCAGTTGCGGTGGCGTGGGCAGGTAATCCTTAAACTCCATGCTAAACTCGCCCTTCCCCTGAGTCGCCGCGCGCAGCTGACTCGAGAAGCCGAACATGGCATTCAGTGAGCACATAGCCGTAAGTGTGAACTCGTCGGCGCCAATTTCGGAGTCCTCAATGACGGCGTTGCGCTTGTTCATGAGGCCAACGATGTTTCCCTGGAATTCGTTGGGCGCGGAGACGGCCACCTTCATGATGGGTTCGAGGATGATCGGGTTGGCGAGCTTGAAGGTGTCACGGAAGGCGTACTCCGTCGCCATCTTGAATGACATCTCGCTCGAGTCGACCATGTGCGTTGCGCCGTCGTTGATGATCATGCGCGTGCCCAGCACCTTGTGCCCGATCATGGGACCCTTCTCCGTCGACTTCAGGAAGCCCTTCTCACAGGCGTAGAGGAATTTCTCCGAGATGTGGCCGCCGACGATTTGCTCTTCGAAATGATTCTTGCCTTCCGGGTCGCGGGTGGGCTCCATGTAGCCCATCACGCGTGCGTAGTCTCCGGCGCCGCCGGTCTGGCGCTTGAAGACGTAGTCGAATTCCTGGCGGGAATCAATGGTCTCGCGGTAGGCCACCTCAGGTTTTCCGGTTACGCAGTCGAGGCCGTATTCGCGCCGGAGTCGCTCCACGTATATTTCTAGGTGGAGTTCGCCCATTCCCGATATGATGGTTTCTTGGGATTCTAGGTCGACTTTACAGCGGAAAGTTGGATCTTCGCGTTGGAAGCGATTCATAGCTTTGGAGAAGGCTGCTGTTTCCTTGTTTTTGGGTTTGATGGAGAGAGAAATTACGGGGTCGGGGACGAACATTGAGGTCTGGATTTGTTAGCCGGCTTCTGGATAGCTGGTGGGGGGTGGCGAACCATGGAGTAGGGGAGACCACCGTCAGTGAAGGTATCGCCAGAGGCACAGTCAACACCAAACACAGCGCAGATTTCTCCAGCTCCGATTGAGGGCACTTCCTCCATCTCGTCAGAGTGCATTCGGACAATCTTCGGAACCTTAATCTTTTTCCCTGACTTTGCATTGTAGAAGTGCATGCCTTTCTTAAGGGTTCCTTGGTACACACGAATATAAGTCAATTGACCGAAGTTGCCCTCTTCCAACTTGAAAGCCAAGCCAACAAATGGGAGCGAGTTGTATGGAATTAGAGAAACCGGGACTTCGTTTCGTCGACGGTCAAGGGCAACAGCGGGAACATCAGATGGGTTGGGGAGGTAGTCACAAACAGCATCGAGCATCGGCTGGACACCCTTATCTGCCAAAGCAGAACCAATAAGCACTGGAGTAAATTTTCTTGCAAGAGTCGCTTGACGAATGGCTGCCTTAATCTGCTCCAGAGTGGGTGTCTTTTCCTCTAGCCAAAGTTCTGCAATTGTGTCGTCAACATCTGCCAGTGCTGCAATGAGAACTTCCCGCTTCTCCTCGGCGAGTTTCTTAACCTCTGCTGGAATCTCTGAGAGCTCCTTTTCAATTACATCGATACTGTAGGAATTGTTAGTTGCAAATATATTTCAGAGCTCGGGGCGTAAAGTCCCACCCCTTGTGACCTTCGAAGAAAATAGCTTTCATCCCAACCAAATCAACAACACCCTGGAAAGAGTCTTCCCCACCAATGGGTACCTGAATGGCCGCAGCAGGAATCTTCAGCTTACTATTTATCTGCTCAATAGCCTTCCAAGGATTCGCCCCCATACGGTCCATCTTGTTAACGAATGATATCCTGGGTACATTATACCTCTTCATCTGACGATCAACAGTAATAGTCTGAGACTGCACCCCGGAAACAGCACAGAGAATCATAACCGCACCATCAAGAACTCTCAGAGCTCTCTCGACCTCAATCGTAAAATCAATATGCCCAGGAGTATCAATCAAGTTGATATGGTATTTCTCGTCAACGCCATTCTCCTTCTTTACCCAATCGCAGAAGGTAGCAGCAGACTGGATGGTAATGCCCTTTTCTCGCTCCAAGTCCATCGAGTCCATCTTTGCGCCGACGGCGTCTTTGCCGCGGACTTCGTGGATGGACTTGATCCTACCAGTGTAGAAGAGGACTCGTTCCGTACATGTAGTTTTTCCAGAATCGATATGCGCCTGGCTAAATTATTAGTTTATCGCCCGTCAATTACCAGCACGGCGGGGGGTAGAAGGAAAATCTGACAGCAATCCCGATATTCCGGACCCTCGCCAATCGAGCCATTTCTTTGGGATCCATCTTTGCGAGAATTTCCTCCTGCGGGATGATATCTGGCTCCTCCGGACTGTAAAAAAAAGAAAGATATTAGCATTTGAAGCAAAAGAATTGGCAATTCATCGGAACATACACAGCTGGAGCAACCGCTACAGCTGCAAGACCCCTAATGCTGCTTGCTTTGCTCAGAGCCAATGGGTGGCCCACTCGCAGGAACGGGCATGATGATGGGGAATACGGAACTAAACATTTTGGTGGCTTGCTGGCAGTGGTGGTTGGTATTCGCAGTGCTCTGGTACCTGTAGTGGTGCTAGTGGGAGAGAGCCTTAATGTTCGGAATTTGTATTTTACTCCTGCAGCCCTCATGATTGCGGTCCCAGGTCGTCGTCCGCTGGTGGCGTGAACGGGTTGGGGGATAGAAAAGTTCAATGTTCTTGTTTATCTAATCTATCTAATCTGGTCCCGAGAATTTTGCCGGGAGGGCATCACCAGGAAGCACTCGAATAGCTTATTTGGCTGCTTGGTTGGAAAATTTAGGAGTGATGGCCTGCGGCCGCTACCCGCCCGAGCATACTCGTAGATACCGTACAATCTGGCAATAACCCCCAGGTGGAACACTCAGGTAGGAGGGGTGGCGTTGCTGGTAGGATAGGGTGGCAAATATGCAATACCTGACGTCAGTCAATTTATTGATTATATATGCCAAGGAATCATGTAAAACCTGAGATCAATGGTACACCATTTTCCATACCTTCTGCTTACATTATTCATGAATATACTTGTTTACAGCAATGTTATCTCTTATTCGCGCAGGAAGATAACCTGCCACAGTTCAAGAGCAGCATTGGTCACAAACCAATACTATTGGAAGGGTTGCAGTACAGTCATGTCTGTAAAGTCTTCATACCCCAGCACGACAACGGTGTTGTCCTCCATCCCCACAACAACCGCCTCTACCATGAACCCCCCACATACCTGAAGAGCTAGAGAAGACCAAAATAAGGAAATTTATGTCCTGTATAAACATACTGATATGGGGTATAATAAAATTTCTAAGGTTATAGGTATCTCTAAGGCAACTGTTCAATCAGTAGTCAAAAGATCTGAATCAAGAGATGGAAATACCCATGATGCCCCCAGATCTGGAAGACCAACAACAATTACCCCTCAAAAAAAGCAAGATAGTGGAGTCCATTATTGATGCCAAGCCTCATTTAGAATTACGCGACATTACCAAAAAAGCAAGTATTGGTCTGGAAAAGACATCTGTGGATAAGATTATATCAGAAGCTGGTTTTAAGCTTCTAATACCTAGAAAAAAAACTTTTTGGAGGAAAGGACAGAAGGAGAAGAGAAAGGAGTTTGCTAGGAGAAGGAGGAATTGGAGGGGTGCATGGAATTGGGTTGTTTTTGTAGATGAAGCCACCATTATCTATGATCCAAATCCTACTGGCAGGAAGGTCAGAGTTAGACCTGGTGAAGAGCTGGAAGAAAAAAACTTGAAGCCTAGCTTTAGGTCTGGAAGGACTAGTATTGGGGTCTATGCTGCAATCATGAAGGGTAGCAGGACTGAGTTAATTCTTGTTAGGAAGAGGGGGGAGGAAGAAAGGACCAGTAAAAGAGACAGACTTGGCCTCAATTCCCACCAATATGCAACTGAAATCCACCAGCCATACCTTATCCCTTTTATAGAAGGTCTGGATAGACCTTCTGACAATATCTACCAAGCAGCAGACAATGCCTCCTGGCATAGTGGTGAGGAAAACAGAAAATTGCAGTTAGACTGTGGTAATCAAAAATTGCCTTAGCCACCCAACACACCAGATCTCAATCCTATTGAGAACACTTGGGCTCTGCTCAAATGAGCCCTCAGAAATCGATTCTCCAGGTTGGATATAAGGCCTCACAGTGCTGCTGAATTATTCCAGTCAGTAAAGGAGGAATGAGATTTAATTTCCCAAGAGAAGTTAAATGGGTAGATAGATAGGATGTCTGAGAGAATACATGCTGTACTAGATGTAGATGGTGGTCATATAAAGTGGTAATAATATTTTCTTAAGGCTTATTAGTTCTATTCATATACCTTTCTTAATTGAGTTGTTTGAATTTTTTTTCAATTTTCCATAGAGAGGGATTGTGGTTGTATGATTGCGCTGCTGGGGTATGAAGACTTTACGGACATGACTGTACCTGTCAGATACAGAGAAAGAGATGGTTTGCAAATCCAACCTCAGAAGGTCGGGAGAGTAACTGAGAAGGGGGATGGTCACTGGTAAGGCAAAGGTAGAGGCAATGGAGAAGTTGAATAGAGTACTAATAGTACAATAATAGATGGAAGTGACTCCAAGTCGAATAGTGAGAGAAACCTGAGGGGAGAAAGTTTTGTTTTAGATATTAGCGAAGCAGAAAAAGTATATGGAATGGAAACGGCAGCAGGTTGGTATACAATAGTAAATTCTCTTCTGTAAATGCAATTAACAACTTCAATTAGGTACTTACCGCCCAATGAAATGCAGATTTCAAGAAACTGGAAAATGCATTTCTGAAAGTATAATCATGGTACAATATACCGAGAATAAGCGTAAACGATTCTATACATGGGAGTTTGAGTTGCAAGTCATCTCTGCAGTTAAGAGTGGGATTCTAGAAAGGAGAGAAAACAGTACTGAGGAGCTAGTACCACTGTCATTATATCAGACAGCAAAATAGTTTGAGGTTGGTAGAAATAGAGTTTGAGGATAGTGTGCAGAGGAGAAAAAGATTTTGAGTTTTAGGAAAGGCCAACGTCATAATAATCCCAGAGGACGTCCATACTATCCATTAACAGAAGAAAGATTGTATAGCCTGTTTTTAAAAAGGTGAAGTCAAGGTTTGGAGGTGAACTAACAAGGGTTTGAATGACATGCCTGCTGTATCTTTGAAGAGGAATAACCCGAATTAGTCAAGACTGATGAGATTAGTATTAGACAATACACATTTTAGTAATTATAGAAACATGAAATTATTAAAAAGATATTTTATTAACACCTGTATAGGTTTTTATAATGGGGGCTCACTCTAGGAAGATAGATCCCGAGGTTGCCACCACACCAAGATGAATTCTTCTGTGAATGGGAACAAATATAATAAATTTGAAAATCTAAACAGTAGAGTTTGAAGAAACAAAGCAGTAAAACTTAATATCGTTAACCTACAGCTTTACTCAATTAAGTCCTAACCTCGTAAGGTAGTAGATTACCAGAGTGGAGGAGAACTCTCATATACTTAAGTAGATTTCATATACTGCCAGTTGCTCCCTATCACTAGTTGGTATTTGAGAGCACCCAGCGCTATTGGGCTTTCTAGCTAACCTCAATGGATTAGAACAAAGATCGTCCATGGCGAACTATGCCACTCTGTAATTTGCTAACATCCACTCAAGAGAAGTGTTTTAGCTGCTACATCTATAATGTAACTGTAGGAGTAAAAACACTTCTTATGGTATGCAGACATGTCGGTGGTGAGCAGACAAACCCGAGTAGAGGTAACACCAACTATAGATCTCTCTACCTATATACACTTAGTCTTCTACAGGCATCAGCAGTCCATGAACATCTATCCAGTTCTACTCTATTCCATATCATTCCAGATGATTAATCAGTAGTTTTCCCTATTAACCCCTTCCAGAGGTTGATTATAGATAGGTGCTACCCACATTTAACCCGCCTAGAAGTAGGTCTCATCATGGCCTC